AAAAAAAAAAAAAAAGAAACCTCTACAAACCCCCAAGATCGGAACAATCAAAAAGCAAACTAAAGAAAAAGTAAAGGAGGAAAAGAAAAAAAAACTAAGAAATGTACTAGAATTTTCTTCCCTTTTGGCTTTGATTCCTCTGTTTTATTGACATCGAAGAACTTGAACATTTAACAATATAATTTACACAAGTTAATGAGATAATAAGTTCACCACCAATTATAGCTGCAGACAAATTCAACTTTCAAATTCTTCAATTTCAATCCTTGAATCTGAACTCAACAACCTCTGTATCAATTACTCCTAATTACATTTCTTCAACTCCTTCCTCAGTCTTTCTCTAAAAAAGTCTATCCAAAGATTAGAAATCCACAAAATACTAACAAAGATTGCACTTACAATCACAACCATCCAAGAAATCCACATAGGCCTAGAAATCACACCATCTGCTTTTCCACTTGCAAAAGCCAAACCCATCTTGTAAACAAATAAGGGTCCAAGAACCCCCCTAACCAAACTATAAAACATATAAAAAAGTGGTGACAATTTTTCATAAAATTTAGCAGCCATAGGGACTTTGTTCTTTCGATATCTAGCAAGACTCCATGTGTTCTGGCAAGGACTTGTGATCTCAGCTAGAAAAAGAAGGCCAAGAAGAGTAGCTCCACCATGATGAACGACGAATCGACAAGTTAAAAATACATAAAGGGTAGCTAAATGATGAGCAATGAAAAGCACATCACTTGGATAAAAGACCAAATAATGTAAAAGGTCAACTAAGAAGTAAGCAATGCTGTATTCAAGTATCATTTCTTGGAATGGTGAGTTTTGGATGGAAATATCAAGATTTTGGAATGAAGTTTGTAACATTGAGTATATTGATAAGATTACTGCAGGGGTACCATGAGCTAAAGACATTATACAACTTGATGCATCAGGCCTCACTTTTTCTTTCCAATCTTTGAATATGATCAAGTATCCAAACAGATAGATTATAGAAAATACAAGAGTGAATCCAACAAGATTTGGCTCCAAGATTTCCATCAGGATATCAAAGAAAGATTATATTATATAACAGAAAAGATGAAGAGATACAGTTTTAGTGATGGTATAAGATGCAGCAAAATGCTCTTTTAAATAATTGAAAATTTTCTAACTAGATAGAAAGTGGTATTAGAATCTAATAAGCAACACAGATCGATGTTTAAATTATTGGAGTGGAGAAGGCTCTGGGTGTTGAGGAAAAAGAAAGGGAAAGACTTGATGACTGGTGAGAATCTAATTTTGTACAAAGGTAACAGTTTTGCCAATAGCTACTACTCGTCAATTATTGGTAATGTGAATAATAAATTCTTTCCAAGAAAGGAAGCATCCTCTTTCTTCCGTACAACCAATTCCCACACGTTATACTTTGTGCTGAGAGAATATTTTGTACCCATCCGGTCCAAAATAAGTGATTTTTTTTAAATGTTTTCACACAGATTAAAAAATCTAGCTTTTAACATTAATTAACAATGAAATTGGCCATATTAACATTTACTATCTCTTCACATAAATACTCCTAACACATACTCCAACACTATTTACTCCAAGGGCAATGTAGGAAAAAAATAATTAATTCATTCTTGAAATCTGGAAAAATTACTTATTTTGGACCACAAAAAAAAGGCCAAAAAATCACTTATTGTTTAATTTTTACATTTTATAAAAAAATTCACACCATCAAGTTTTTTTTTGTTGAGAAACTGGAACAATTTATTTAATCGAACTACGTAGAGTCTGACAAAAGATCCATAGGATGGTTACAAACAGCTAAAAGGCCTTGCATGGCATTAATGTTGCCAAGTTTGGCTAGCTTCCTACAGTTACTTTCACTAACTAACTTATTAGTAGATGAAAGACCCTCCTTGTCCGCCAGCATCCTGGGCTCAACGAAGGTAGGGGTTACTACATAGCAAACTAAGCTATCATGATTCGATTGCCTCAACGGGTGAGCTACTTCATTTTCTTGTCGAAAGTTATGCCAGATCACCAGCTCCTTCCTGTGCCAACGGGTGAGCTACTTCATTTCCTTGTCAAAAGTTATGCCAGATCACCAGCTCCTTCCCCTTCCTGGATATCAACCACATGCAAAATTGTAAAAGATAGTCGTAAGAGGTGTTGCCTTCCTGTAATAGTTCAATTACCTGGGTTGAGTCGGTTTCTATTTCATACGACCATAGGTTATGTTGAAGAATCAGTTCTAGACCTTTTTTTAAGGCCAGGATTTCCGCATGCATGCATACATGTTAATGCCAGTATTTCATCATGGAATCCCAAAATCCAGTCACCAATACTGTTTCGTATGACTCTTCCTATGCCACCATGGTTTTTTTGGAAAGCTTCATCCACATTAAGCTTAAACCATCCAGCACATGGTTTATGCCAATTAGTGTTACAGGTAATCTTCCTTAAAGGACTACTTTCTCTGCTGGCCAGGAGAACAAATTCTGTAGCTTGTTTGATGATTAAGGGAATAGTAACGTAATTAGAGGCGTTGTTTTCAATATTTTTATTCCTATTAATTAAGCCAAAGGTTCCAAATAGCACAAGGGAAAAGTTGAGACCAAGTAATTATTTTAGAGGCTATGGTAGGACTACAAAATCTTAATCTATCAAGCCAGTGGTGGTTATCAGACTTTGACCATTTGATGCTTAGATCTAGGGAGTGCCAAATTTTTTTTGCTACATAACAATGAAGGAAATTATGGGGGATATCCTCAATATCATTACGGCAAATAGTACAAGGGATTCTATTATGGTAACATTTTCATAGAAGGATTTTTAATTTATTGGGACAATATACTTCCCAAATCCATCTAAAGCTTTTGGTCGGTATCATATCTGTTTCAATTAGATTATAGCATGAAGCTGTAGAGAATAAACCATTGCTATTAGGTTCCCAAATCAGACAGTCGTGGCCTCTGTCTATTGGTAGATTAATAGAGAAAAAAAATTCAACTATATTTTCCGGCAAAATCATCGAAATATTATTCAAGGTCCAATTGTTGTGGTCAATAAGGTCCTTAATAGTTAATGAAGAATATTTTTTCGTTAGGGGTCGCATTTCTTAGGCAAGGACTATTAGGGATCCATCTTTTATCCCAGATGCCTAGGAAGGAGTTATGACCAATGTACTACATGGGTCCTTTATTGCAGTAATCCCAACCCTTGAGTATACTCTTCCAACAAAAAGATTGGCGCTTCCTAGAAGAAAAGATGTAGGATTGCATGAGAACTTTTGCCCATGGGGCTTGGGGAAAATTTAATAGTCTCCATGCTAAGCTTGTAAGGAGAGATAAATTTTTTGATTTGGCTTTTCTACGTCCAAGGCCGCCTTTGTTTTTATCAAGGGTGATTATTGTTACACCCCATGTTTTTGTACGTGAAAGTATGTCGTAAGTCAATTAATGTAAGCTCAAAAATGAGATCTTCTTTGAAAGTATATAAAGTGACTTAATATTATTACACCCCGTACTTCAGACGTCACTGTCGTTATAGGATTATCTAATGTAAACTCAAAAAGGACGAAATCTTTCTACAACGATAAGAAAGATTTACTGAAGTCTTAAGCAAGTTAAGATGAATATGAGACTTGTTAATCATGATTTAAAAGAGTTTAAAGTCAAGATATGACTATATACGATGTTTGGATATGAAATATAAAGTTTGGGAAAAATTGGATTTAAGTTGCGGAAAAACCGACTAAGGATTTGCTTTGTAATGAAGCATTTTGAGCAATATATTTCATGTGTTATATGAGGTCGTTTTGGAACATATTATATACCAAAATGAAGGTCTTGGAACCTAGTTTCCAACGGTCTAAACCATTTATTCATACGACATTGGGATAGAGAAATATAAATTTATATAGTAGGGTTGCCAAGTCACGTCTCCACACTTCGGGGAAACTGGTAGTTTTATAGGCCAGTTGCGATGCAGTTTTCTCCTAATCTATTGAGAGTTACATGAATATATTTATATGGAATTAAATCCCTATGTGTCTAGTTTCCAACACCGAAAACCGTTTGTCAATACGATATCGGATTAGAGAGATACAAGCGTCCGAAATTGCACCGCTCAAGCTGCCAAGCAGGCAGCTTACCCACCTACTTGGAGAATTGAGGCGGTGGGCTTATAATTTATCTTCTCCCTTGTATATCTCTTCATTATACACATAAAATTTATACCAAAACACTCTCAATTCTCTCTAAGAGCTGGTCCAAGATCCCAAGAACTAAACTAAAGGGAAATCAACTCAAATCATCATCAAAGGTATTAAAGACTACAAGAGAATACTTTTATGATGTTGTGGTGTGATTGAGGCCTATTGTAAGCTAAGCTGAGATAGGGTTTCTAGTTGTAGATTCTGTCCAAGGTATGTATAACACCTTCTTGGTTGTACCTAAGGCTAATCTTGTGTTGGTTGTGTTGTTTGAGTGAAAAACCATAAGATAGCACCTGAAAGAACATGAGATATGGTTGTCTCTTTGGTTGGGCTGTTTTGTGGCTAAATATATAATTTGTGATGGCTAAAAATTATGAAAAATAATTTTATAATGTTGTAGCTTATGTTGTTAAGCTTTTCTAGATGTTAATTAAATTGATTGAAGAAGAAAAGATGAACAACAAGTGATTGACGGTAAAAATTAAGGTGCTAGACGTATGAGGCTGTTTTGGAAGGCGTTTTGTGGATGTTTTAAACTAGAAATAATATGGTACATACAAGTATGATGTTCTGAAGGTTGTAAACTAATTTATAAAATAAGAGTTGGATTCAATTCATATCTTGTTATGAGTAAAAACGAGCTTGGCACTCAATATGATTGTTAAGATAATCGGAGAAACTCATATTAGATTGCATTGTTGTTGTTGTTGTTGTTGTTGTCATTGTTGGTTATAGTTGTTGTTGTTGGGCTGTTGATGACCCTTAGTGGTCTTTGGGATGCATTAAAAGTAGGAGAGGTTCTGCCCGATTTTCCTTAAGCCATACGATTAGCCAAATATGATGGTACGACATTATATGTTAACAACAATATCATTTCACTTGTTTTAGATTCAAGACATTGTGTTGAGCTTGGTTGAGTAATAAGGAAGATATCATGCAGGTATGTTAAGGCTATCCATTTTTTTTGGCATGATCCAAATGATACAAACGAAACGAGCAAACACACAACTTTCGTAAATAACTTTATTTATAGAAGTATTAGAGGCGCCTATGCTCTTGAATTTCCATCTGTCTTATTATTACATCTTCTGTTCATGGGTCTCATAAAAATATGTAAGTTGAAAAAAGTTTATTTCATGATATTAATCAGAGGTATAATAGTCTTATGACGTTCCGAGAAGTTTTATTAACGTACTTCTCATGTATTGCATTTATTTACATGTGCATTTACCCATGACTTAGATGGCGTTATATACGCGTATATATGTATATATATGTATATGGGATATGGAAAAAGGTTACAATGTTATATACGCATTACCACCTGATCAGCTGGTATACATTGATGATTTTGCCCACAGAAGCCGAGATGATATGATGAGATGCCCTCAGAGGCTTGATGATGATATGTACGCATATACCTATGCATGATATAACATTTACATGTACATGCATGACATTATAAATATTTTATGATTCATAGAGCTCCTCAGACTTACAGGTTGAATACTTACTCCATATTTCTTTCATGTCTTTTATATACTACTTTTCATTCCTTACATACTCGGTACATTATTTGTACTAACGTTCCTTTTGTCGGGGACACTGCATTTAATGCCGCAGGTCCTGAAAGATAGGTTGACAGTTCTCCTAGTACGCTCAGCTCAGCGAAAGGTGTTGGTGCACTCCACTTGCTCCGGAGTTGCCTATTTGATCAATATGATTTTAGGCATGTATTGACTGGTATGGCGGGGACCTGTCCCGACCTTTATGATGTTTATGTACTCTTAGAGGCTTGTAGACACATGTCAGGTATATAGATACTTGTATGGACTTATCGGCCTACGTTTTGAGTTTACAAATGATTATGTCAGCCTTATAGGCCCGTATGTCACATGTATAAGTTTTTATATCATGTTGGGTAATCCTATGTCTAGTATTCCCTTATGTTTTATTCTGATTATCTTACGACGACCCTTTTGGCTCATTTACCAATGATAGTACAATAAGAAAGATATATTACATTGGTACTCGGTTGAGTAAGGCACCGGGTGCCCGTCGTGGCCCTTCGGTTTGGATCGTGACAATTATGT